GTCTCTCTCTGTCCCAAAAATAAACGTTGGAAAAAAAAAAAAGTAAAATACAAAATCACATTTCCGTGACCAAAATAAAGCAGTAAAAAGTACTATCCTTCAGGTGAAAAACAGGAGCCAGAAACCTCGGGAGAAATTAAGGTGACCTCTGTTCTTACAGGGGAGGAGAGCACATGCTTCCCTTTTCTTTAAGATTTTATTTTAAATATTCATTTTTGAAAGAGAGTCAGAGAGAGAGGGAGACAGAGGATCCGAAATGGGTTCTGTGCTGACAGCAGAGAACCTGATGCAGGGCTCAAATTCACAAATCGTGAGATCATGACCTGGGCCAAAGTGAGACACTCAAAGTCAGACCAAGCCACCCAGGTCCCCTAAGATTTTATTTTTAAGCAATCTCTACACCCAATGTGGGTCCCAAACACATAATCCTGAGGTCAAGAGCCGCATGCTCTACCAACTGAGCCAGCCAGGTAGCTCTGCAGATCACCTTTTTAAATAGTGATACAGTGTATCTGAACTCAGCTCAGAATACTGTTAGAGGAGAGTTTAATTTTCTAGTCAATTCTTGATGATACTTCCAAAGTGTCTACCATATCTTACAGAGACCATCACTTCAAGGTATGGTTAGTACCTAAAACGTCTCTAAAACAAACGGATGCCAAATTACAAAAATTGTTAATAAAAATTGTTAATGCCCACAGATCCCCTTATTGCTCCCTTAGGCAAATAAAAATGCCCACAATCTTGTACTATCATTTATATATCCTAATATTAAATTCTGGCACTCCTGAAATGAAATAAACATTTCTAAGCCGTGAAGCTAGGTAACAACATTAACGTCACAATGGTAAAATAAAACAAAGAAGACCATATGAACAAATATGTCAATAGGATTCATATTAAAATTAAATACAGTGATGGGTGGCGCAGTCGGTTAAGCGTCCGACTTCAGCTCAGGTCACGATCTCGCGGTCCGGGAGTTCGAGCCCCGCGTCAGGCTCTGGGCTGATGGCTCAGAGCCTGGAGCCTGTTTCCGATTCTGTGTCTCCCTCTCTCTCTGCCCCTCCCCCGTTCATGCTCTGTCTCTCTCTGTCCCAAAAATAAATAAACGTTGAAAAAAAAAATTAAAAAAAAAATTAAATACAGTGAAATACAGAATCAAACACTTTAAAAAATGAATGGGTCTGTAATAATACTATTTTTCCCCATAGGAGATATAGAATTTTTAAAGAAAAAGTGAGCTAGGATCTCCCTCCTAGCATTAATGGCTTTGTAGATCCTTTTTATAACATGACATTCTACAGGAGTAATTTTCTTTTATCTTTTTAAGTGTTTATTTTTGAAAGAAAGAGTGCAAGTGGGGAAGGAGCAGAGAGAGGGACCGAGGATCCGAAGCAGAGAGCCTGATGCGGGACTCAAACTTATGAAATGTGAGATCATGACCTGAGCCAAAGTTGGAAGCTTAACCTACTGAGCCATCCAAGCATCCCTACAGGAATAACTTTCATTTCACTGTTAACAATGGAATTACAAAAGTTTAAGAAAAATTATCTTTATAAAGAAGTTATTTTAAAGCCTGGACTAATTCAGATTATTTAGTAAGATATCACAAGGCATCTAACCCCCCAAAATATAAACATAGTAAGCTTCAAAAGAAGCAGTTAATATTATGCAAACTTACTAGGGTCATAAGGCACATGCCAGTACTGACGTCCCACATCTTAATAGTCTTGTCTCTGGATCCAGACAGTAAGAATGGCCCAGGCTTGCCACTTTTTTTAGTCTATAGAAAACATACAAAAATTAAGTTTCCCATGTAAGAAGTTAAGTGAAGACTTTAGATGACTTCTAACAATGATCTATATTTTCAATTTTACAGAAATGCAATTTTGGGAGACAAATAAATATTGTGTATGTTTACTATACACAATTTGATACTGAGATACATATACATGGTAAAATGATCATCATAATCAGGTTAGTTAACATATCCATTGCCTCGTATAACCATCCCCCGCTTTAGAGCTACCCTTTTAGCAAATTTCACATATACACAACACAGTATTGTTAACTATAGTCACCAAGCTGTACAATTAGATCTCCAGGACTTACTCATTTTATTTTCCTCTATCGAAATACAGAAGTCTTTTTTGACATATGTAGGCTACACAGGAAGGACCCAGATAATATGAAAATAGAAAATCTCCATTTAGGTTAAGACTCAGTTTCTATGATACTAACAGATGATAAATTTATTGCTCAAGACTTCTGGAATCAAGAAAAAAATTGAAAACTAATTCAGTCTTTATATAACATCCAAGCCAGAATCAACTTTATGACATGGTAAGTAACCACCACCAGAGGGCAGTAAAAAGAATTTGAAAATGCAACCAAACAGCCAGCCAAAATTTAAGAGATTACTACAGAAGTTTCATTTCAGAAAAATAATTTTGGGGGGTGAAGGGTGGGGGTAGGGGAAGAAGATTCTTTTCATTCATTTATTAAAATATAATTAAAATATCCACGATAGGACTGTCTCTATAAAAAAGGAACATGGTCAATTTTGGCTCATATAATTTATTCAAAGAAACAATAGTCTGTAATTTATTAAGTTATTAATCATAAAAATTGAAATCATGAAAAGTAAAAGTTAAGAACCATGACGAAATATAAAACTCCTGAGTAGAAAGCCCAAAAGACTCCACCAAAAAATTTCTAGAACTGATAAGCAAATTCAGTAAAGTTGCAGGATACCAAAAAAAAAAAAAAAAGTACAGAAATCTGTTGCATTTCTAAAAGCCAATAATGAAGCAGCAGAAAGACAAATTAAGAAAACAATCCCATTTACAATGGCACCAAAAAATAATAAGATACCTAGGAATAAACCTAACCAAAGAGGTGAAAGATCTGTACTCTGAAAACCAGAAAACGGTGAAAGAAATTGAAGACAACACAAAGAAATGGAATGACATTCCATGTTCACGGACTGAGCACATATTGTTAAAATGTCTAAAAAGACCCCAAACAGCCAAAGCAATCCCGAAAAAGAACAGCAAAGCTGGGGAGGCATCACAATTCCAGACTTCAAGTTTTATCACAAAGTTGTAGTAAGCAAAACACTATGGTACTGGCACAAAAATAGACATACAGATCAATGGAAAAGAATAGAAAATCCAGAAACAAACCCACAATTATATGGCCAATTAATCTCTGACAAAGCTGGAAAGAATACCCAAAGGGAAATATAGTCTCTTCAACAAATGGTGTTGGGAAAACTGGACAGCAGCATGCAAAAGAATGAAACTGGGCCACTTTCTTATACCACACACAAAAATAAATTCAAAATGGATTAAAGACCTAAATATGAGATCTGAAATCATAAAAATTGTAGAAGAAAACATAGGCAGTAATTTCTCTGACACTGGCTGTATCACCTTTTTTCTAAATAGGTCCCCTGAGGCAAAGAAAAAGAAACAAAAGCAAAAATAAATTACTGGGACTATATATCAAAATAAAAAGCTCCTGCACAGCAAAGGAAACAATAAAACAAAAAGGCAACCTACCGAATGGGAGAAGGTATCTGCAAAATGACATATCTGATACAGAGTTAGTACCCCCAAAATATAAAGAACTTCTATAACTCAACACCCCAAAAAACAAATCCAGTTAAAAAATGAGGTGACACGAACAGACACTTCTCCAAAGAAGACATACAGTTGGCCAACACACGTATGAAAAGATGCTCACCATCACTATCATTAGGGGAATGCAAATCAAAACTACAATGAGGTATCCCCTCACACCTGTCAGAATGGCTAAAATAAAAGACACAAGAAACAACAGGTGTTGGCAAGGACATAGAGAAAGGGGAACCCTCTTGCACTATTGGTGGGAATGCAAACTGGTGCAGCCACTCTGGAAAACAGTATGGAAGTTCCTCAAAAAGTATAAAATAGAACAACTTATGATCCAGTAATTGTAAATTGTACTACTGGGTATTTACCCAAAGAATAGAAAGAAAAGAAAAGAAAAGAAAAGAAAAGAAAAGAAAAGAAAAGAAAAGAAAAGAAAAGGAAAGAAGGAAGGAAGGAAGGAAGGAAGGAAGGAAGGAAGGAAGGAAGAAAGAAAAGAAAGAAAAAAGAAAGAAAAAAAAATTCCACTAATTCAAAGGGACATACATGCACCCTTACAGCAGCATTGTTTATAATAGCCAAGATATGGAAGCAACCCAAGTGTACATCAACTGATGAATGGATAAAGAAGATATATATACATACATACACACACAATGGAATATTATTCATCCACAAAAAAGAATGAAATCTTGCCATTTGCAATGACATGGATGGAGCTAGAGAGTATAATACTAAGTGAAATAAGTCAGAGAAAAACAAATACCGTAAGATTTCACTTGCATGTGGAATTTAAATGAGCAAAGGAGGGGAAAAAAGAGAGCAACAAACCAAGAAACAGATTCTTTTTTTTTTTTTTTTTTTAATTTTTTTTTTCAACGTTTATTTTATTTTTGGGACAGAGAGAGACATAGCATGAACGGGGGAGGGGCAGAGAGAGAGGGAGACACAGAATCGGAAACAGGCTCCAGGCTCTGAGCTATCAGCCCAGAGCCCGACGCGGGGCTCGAACTCACGGACCGCGAGATCGTGACCTGGCTGAAGTCGGACGCTTAACCGACTGCGCCACCCAGGCGCCCCAAGAAACAGATTCTTAACTACAGAGAACAAACTGATGGCTACCAGAGGGGAGATGGGTGGAGGATGGGTGATTCAAATAAAAACTTAAAACACACAAATAAATAAAACTCCAGACAGATTCAGCTAGTGCTTCTAGTGATCAAGAGTATCAAGAGGCCTTCATATGAAATATTCTGTTTAAAATAAATATTTAAATACTGAACTGCATTCCACCATAAATTTATAAATAATTACGCTCATTAAAGAAGGCTATTCTTCTAAAAGATAACTTTTAACTTCTCCCGTAAGTTTTATTTTGCACCAGCTGCTATACTCTTATAACAATGACATTTCTTATAAATTTAATGACCACTTTTACTCTTCAGGCGGGTCCACCATCCCCAGCCCAAATCACGGGTCAGCTGACAGCAATAATAATCACTAGTTAAAAAATATAAACATTTCTGCAAGTTCAAAAGAGTAAAGAGTTTCAAGATTCAGAATTCTGGGATACAGATTTTTCAATGCATTAACTGCCCTGAAACTGAGAATCAGAAGTTATCTAAGATTCTGATACCAGCAATCAAATCATGAAATGATATATAAATCACATACCTCAGATCCTGTTGCTTCAGAGATGGAAGAATATGAGCTTTCTGGAGCCCAGGAAATACATTCTACCACATGCTCATGTTCTCGAAGCTCAGCCTTGCATTCCTTTGTTGCTACGACCCATACGCGCACGGTCTGATCATTTGAACAGCTGGCTATCAGAGTGCCATCCTGATTTGGCCGCACCATACGTACCCATTCTCTGTGTCCTGTGAATGTCTTCACACAGTAGCTGTCAAAATAAATAATAATCTACATGATGAATGGCAATCACTGGGATACTTCCCAGGAGCAATATAAAACTAGCTACGTATGTACTGGAATAAAGAGGACGGCACCATGTTAGGGTAATCATATGTGAGTCAGCACAATAAATGTACATTCATGGTTAATGAAAGATGGGGACAGGTCGGAAAATCAAACATCAGTCAAAATAAGCTGATGGAAGTATCATTAAGGAGCTAACCAATCAACACATTCTAGAAGGTAAAATATAGAGAGAAATAAAATCTTCTAAAACTAAACACACACAATAAACCTAACAAAAATATTTATAGCTTTGTTGAGACAAAGGCATACTCTACTAATCTGGGTAAAACTACTTAGTAGTAGGTTAAGATTTTATTATAACAATCATGTGTGATTCTAAGCACAACCAAATTAAGCCTAACAGGGGCCTACCTGCACAAATGTTATTTACATTTTATTTCAACCCATAGAGAAATCACCTAAAAGAAGACCACAGAGATAATAAGCCATTGCATAGAAAATGGCTCTCGAGGACACGAAATTTTTTTTTTTTGTTAATAATTTCTCTATTCCTTTTTGGGAAACATTTAGAGATTCAAACCTCATTTTACAGTATATAACACAACGAGCACCATAATTATTTTGGGTTAAAGTCAAAATAACTGGTTCAGAACACATTTCGTTTGGTTGTTTAATATCTCTTTAGCTGACACCATTTCAACCAAACCTACTTACCCAGTTTGCACCTCCCACATTTTTATAGTTTTATCCCTTGAGGCAGACACTATATGATCTCCATTGGGCATGATGGCTACTGAAGAGACATTGTGGTCATGGCCTAAAACATAACACAGCAATGTATTAAGTGATCTATAGCATAATTAAATCTCAGTTTACCATGAGATTTCACCATGGGATTTCAAATACCACAGCAACTTTAAATACACTGGATTTTAATAAATTTGATAAGAAACTTTGGATTTACACACAAAAAAGTTTAGGAATTAGCAACTTAATAAAATAATCCACAATGAAATAGCAGCTAGCTATTAAAATAATAGCTTATTAAAATAATCCACAATGAAAAGCAGCTAGCTCAATTTAGGACCACAAAACTGTTTTAACATCAGTGTCATTAGCATTTGGATATATTAATATGCTGAATGTTTATATATGAACAGTAGAAAAACACAAAAATTTCCATGGTTGATATCCTAAGATATAAATTGGAGATAAGATTTACAAAGCTAAACAGAAGAATAAGAAAAATGGAGATTTGGTTTCATATTTAAATTTTTTAAAAATGTTTTTATTTATTTTTGAGACAGAAAGAGAGCATGAGCAGGGGAGGGGCAGAGAGAGAGGGAGACACAAAATCCGAAGCAGGCTCCACGCTCTGAGCTGTCAGCACAGAGCCTGATGCAGGGCTCGAACTCCCAGACTGTGAGATCATGACCTGAGCCAAAGGCGGACGCTGAACCAACTAAGCCACCCAGGTGCCCCACATTTGGTTCCATATTTAAAATAGTGGTCCAAGGCATCTGGGTGGCCTAGTGGGTTAAGTGTTTGACTCTTGATTTTGGCTCAGGTCATGATCTCATGGTTCGTGGGATTGAGCCTTACGATGGGCTCCTCTCTCCCTCTCTCTCTGCCCCTCCTCCACTCACTCTCTCTTCTCCCTCAAAATAGGTAAACATTTCCCCAAAAAATAGTGTTTGAAAAATTTTGTTGATGTCAATGGGGGTAAAAAAGAAATGCATTATTCTATATGCATTATTCCTAATTAGTTATCCTTTGTGGAAAAAGCCCTAGAGAATCCTCATAAATATCATTATTTTAAGGAACATATACAATGGTTAGAAAGAACTCTTTTTTTTTTTTTAATGTTTATTTATTTTTGAGAGAGACAGAGTGCTAGCAGGGGATGAGCAGAGAGAGAGGGAGACACAGAATGTGAAGCAGGCTCCAGGCTCTGAGCTGTCAGCACAAAGCCCCACGCGGGGCTTAAACTCACAAAGTATGAGATCATGACCTGAGCCAAAGTCAGATGTTTAACTGACTGAGCCACTCAGGCACCCCAAGAACTCTTCTTAAAAAAAAAAATTGGGGGCGCCTGGGTGGCGCAGTCGGTTAAGCGTCCGACTTCAGCCAGGTCACGATCTCGCGGTCCGTGAGTTCGAGCCCCGCGTCAGGCTCTGGGCGGATGGCTCGGAGCCTGGAGCCTGTTTCCGATTCTGTGTCTCCCTCTCTCTCTGCCCCTCCCCCGTTCATGCTCTGTCTCTCTCTGTCCCAAAAATAAATAAACGTTGAAAAAAAATTAAAAAAAAAAATTGTTTTTGAGTATAGTTGACACATAATGTTACATTAGTTTCAGTTGAGAAGTTTATACATTATGCTATGTTCATCACAAGCGTAGCTGCCATCTGTCACTATACATTATTACAGTGTCTTTAACTATATTCCTCATACTGTGCCTTTTATTCCCTTGACTTACTCATTCCGTAACAGGAGGCCTCTATCTCCTACTTTCTTTCTTCATTAAGTCAGAGCAACAAGACACAGGCTACTTAAAGAAACATAAACACTAGTTTTTATGAAAGGATTCAACAGAATTCCTTTAACTGGTAAGCTTCCCCATTTAATATGGGGGGAAACACACCCTTCAAATTACACTTTCTATGTAAACACATAGCTTACATCACTGAATTATCTATTAAAAAAAAAAACAAAAAATTTTATTACCAACACAGAATGTATTCCTTATACAAAATCCAGACGTTCAAATTTTATCATGGTCAACGAAACAAAAATCCTTATTTAGTGAGCACCCCTAATGTGCCAGATACTAAACCAAGATGATTTATGTATATGATCTCATTTTATCCTCACAACAATCCTATGACAGGTATTATTACCTCTACCTTGCATATGAAAGAAGCTGAAATTTCCTAATGCCACAAGTAAACAAGTAGGGATCTGAACCCAGATATCTGATTCTAAAGCCCATGTTCTTCCCACAAAGCCCAAGTGCCTCAGAGAATAGTCTCTATGACAAGAACCAGGAAAGCAAGCTCACATTCTACAGTGTATGTACAACATTATAAAGTGAGCAAGAAATGCTAGGTTCCAGCTTTTACTGTATCTACTTTCTATGAACTTGTTTCCCAGGTGAGAAAATGAAAAGCAAAACAAAAAATTCCCCAATAACTTCATTTTTCTTTTTTTCTTGAAGACAGATGTCCCAGCAGTTTTTCTTATCCAAAAATATTCCTGAAAGCGAATTAACTATTTTATATAAACCACTAAGAGATACTTAAAACCTTATAACTGAAACAACTCTCAACTACTGTGGTTTATCCACGGGCTACACATCATATGCTCTTCCACCGATACAATTAAGAATCAAATGTAGTGAACCCGCACACTATCAGAAAACAATATTCTTTTCTCTGGAATGTCACATTACAAATCACTATCAAAATATTATCCTCTACCCCTTACCGTGCATGGTTCTGATGCATTCAAAGCCCTGAAAATCCCATAGTTTAATGGTCATATCTGCAGAACAGGAAGCCAGAAGCTTGCCACTGTGGTCAAACGAAATATCCTGTACAGAGTCTGTATGCCCCTTAAGGGTTCGCTCAAAATCTCCAGTCTCATAATCCCACACCTGTCAAATAATCAGAAAGTTAGTTAACATCAACCCATCCCTTCTTTCTTGTTTCACATTAGCACTCAGCAGGCCAGTATGAGCAAGTGACAAAGGGTAACTATCTTAGAAATAGCAATCTTCAAGTGTAAATTGGTCTTTTCTCTATAGAGAAACTGAAGTTGTAATTACTAAAACACACTTCTAGTACATCATCTATCATATACCTAATAATACTAGCAGGTAGGTATATAAAGCCAAAAGACAAAGTTCATTCCCAGTCTGACAGGAGACAACAGACATGTAAACAAATAAATTTAAGGACTTAAGTTCTGGGGGGTGGTTATGAGAGGCATCTATATGTAGAATATTCGGGGACAATAAAAAGTGTTCAATTCTTTTTTTTTTTTAAATGTATGTTTATTTTTGAGAGGGACAGTGCAAGTGAGGGAGGGGTCAGGACAGAGCCCAACATGGGGCTCAAACTCCAACAGCGAGATCATGACCTGAGCTGACGCTGGACGCTTAACTGACTGAGCCACCTAGGTGCCCCAAGATTGCTCAATTCTAATACACAGCAGAACTCAGACATCTAAGAGGCAAAGGAAAGACTTCACAAGATGTTACTGCCAATGAATAAGTAAATTAACAAATGCATTATGTCATTTTGATGCAAAAATGGGAAGCCACTGCCACATCTTTTAAAGTTAGTTTTTTCTAAGATAATGGAAATAATGAGCTATCAAGAGTAAGTATTAGAAACAGACCTCAAGAACATACTAAACTTTCATTCTGGTGGCCAAATGTAGTCAATCTTTACCCAACACCAATTACATGCTCTAAAATCAAATGATTGATTCCATTCTTCCTATAATTTATTTATCATTAAACCTATTATAGGTTCAAATTTATCAGTAGTAGGATATATACCAACCAATTTAAAGAAACTTAGAAAATGCATTTTGAAGACTTGGAAACAATCTATCCAACATTAGGGGAATGGCCAAGCAGATACAAGATTTGCAATCATAAGGAACTTATGACACACACGTAATATAATAAAGTAAAAAAGAATACAAAAACCTCACCTAAGAAAAACCATCTTCTAAAACCCATTTCTTTTACAGAAAAATGTACATACTCTTCTTAATATAAACAGAGTTTTTGACCATATATTCAAGTACTTCTACACAGAAATGATTTCTAATTTTGCACATATTTTGTTACATTCATCCTTAGGTATTTTGGGGCTTTTTTGATGCGACTGTGTGACATTTTCAATTTTTAATTTTCAAATTATTCATTGCTACTTTATAGATATACAATTACCACTTGAATATTAACCCTGCATCCAGTGATTCTGTTAAATTCAGCCATAGTTCTAAGTAGCTTTTTTGTAGATTCTTTGGGTTTTCTACATAGAAGATCATGTTGTCTACAAATAAACAGTTTCATTTCTTCCTTCCCAATCTGTATGCTTTTTATTTTTCTTCCTTACTGCACTGGCAAGGCACTCTTGTACAAACATGAATATACGTGTGTTTGACACTGAACACCCTGGCCTTGGTTCCCAATAGGGGGAGGGAACATTCAGTTTTCCACCAATCCTGCACTCTGGGATAAACCCTACTTGGGTCATATTAATTAACCTTTTTATAAATTGCTGGATTTATGGGGCGCCTGGGTGGCTCAGTCGGTTAAGCGTCCGACTTCAACTCAGGTCACGATCTCGAGGTCCGTGGGTTCGAGCCCCGCATCGGGCTCTGGGCTGATGGCTCAGAGCCTGGAGCCTGCTTCCGATTCTGTGTCTCCCTCTCTCTCTGCCCCTCCCCCGTTCATGCTCTGTCTCTCTCTGTCTCAAAAATAAATAACCGTTAAAAAAAACAATTAAAAAAAAATAAATTGCTGGATTTAACTTGTAATTTGTTAAGGATTTTGCATATGTGTTCATGAATGATACTATACTGGTCAATAATTTTTTTTGTAAGATTTTTGTCCCATTTAGTTTAATTTTGACACTAAGAATTCAGTGAATACCTGACATGCTAAAAATAAATAAGGTGGGATCAGTTAACTTTCCTTCCATGCATTTGTCAAATAACACTAGAGCATTTTCTCTAAAATAAATATATCCATAAAATGAACTGGGTCTCTTCATAAATGGTGAGCAAACAAGGCATTTTAGTTATAGTTTGTAAATATCAAGAATTAGTAAGAATTAATTTTATTTTTCCTTTACTTGATATTTACCTTTTGTATGATCATAAAATAAATGCTCATGATAAACCATTTATAATGTACTTACATAAAGGCAATAAAAAATATCCATTATCCTACCCAAGGCATGGTTTTTCCATTCTTTCTACATTATTTTTAAGCATAATGACGGTGTTGTACTTCATTATCCCATTTTCCCTTTGCTTCCCACCATGAGGATTTTTCCATACAATTAAAAACTTGACAAACATCTTTTTTTTTTAAGATTTAAAAAAAAATTTTTTTTTTTAATGTTTATTTATTTTTGAGACAGAGAGAAACAGAGCATGAGCAGGGGAGGGGCAGAGAGAGAGGGAGACACAGAATCTGAAGCAGGCTCCAGGCTCT